TCTAGCCAGCGCCCGTTTCGTTGCTGATCTTGCTGTTACGCTAATACTCCCCTTGGCCATTTCGGATACTTGTCACGCCTGTTAGGTGTGTTCAGCCAACCTAAGCTAGCCGTAACTTAACGTGCTAATCCAGCACTATTCTATTTAGTCTTCAACTGATTTATGTTATAACTTTTAAGTTCCACCTCAAGTTGTCGGTGTTATAGTAAAGCACGAAGATCGTGCCTTCCTGTTCTTAGTTGGATTTAATAAAGAGTTTATTTCACCCTTCTTCTGTGCTGTCATTTACTTCACGCCTGTGCACCAGGTTCATTTAGAGGATCTAGTTTAGGTTGTGTGGAAAAGAAGAGACAGATCTTACAAAATAACGACTTGTGCTTAAGACTGCCATGGAATAACTACGAAAGGTGTGAGTTTATGAGGAAGCATTATGATAGCAACATGTTACTATGAGTGGTTGTGAAAACTGTGCACAAAAATGACCTGACGTTTTAAGGGAAGAACGATTCATTTTTAGCGCTAGGGCCCACCAGTACGAAAGAAAGTTGTGAAAGATCTACAGTCCAATTACGAATGAGAAGTTTTACTTCACGGATTGAAAAAAAATCTTACAATGATCAACCAAATATGCGATTTGTTTCTCACACATGGAAAGTGTCTTCATCAGCGAAAGTGGTTTCCTTCCTTGAAAGAAATTTCTACAAAGGTTACCCAAGCCCTCCCACGAATAATTAAATGTAGCACCCTACAAGGAATGTGAATCAATCTCTCCGAGACACCGGATGGCAGCTGTTGAGAAGTAAGCGAGATACATAAAAGAACTGTAATGAGAAACTGACTGAAATAAAATTAAACTTTTTTAGAGATTTAAAAAAAACTAGCGTGCATTATTTTTTAAATGACCTTCATATTTGTATTTTGAGTTGTATTCGTATTTGTTTCTATTTTCCATTACCTGCTCTAAAAGCGACATAGCTATGTTAGTAACTTTCAGAGATAAAATTAGTTGCCATTTTTTTGTTACTCTGGCGATTAGCACGTAACCATCAGTTTGAAATAGATTTACGTTATTACACGCAAAGCGTATCAGCAGAATTCAGTTTACATAAGATGGTTTCTGTGTTTATTAATTTCATTCTTCAGCACGCTCACTTTCGACTAAACACAGAGAACAAATCGAAAGTAAAAGGGCGAATCATATTTATGGTATAAATATTCTCATATATATAGAAGTACTAATTTGCAAATTTTACTGTTGAAGGAAAATTAATTGCTTTAAAAATGTTCTATACGGTTTAAAGGGCATACGTCTAATGAGTTTTCTTAAAGGCAATAACGATTTCTTTCGCTGCTGTAGTTAAAACTTGAATCTCAAATTAAATATTTGGTATACATATATCGAAAAGAAAATTTCAGCTTTTTTAAGATAAGAGATGATGTTTACATATTTAAACATACTTTCATATTAAACCTTTTCTAAAACTGTTCACAGTTTTAAAATATATTTAATTAATGTTATATTTCCGACTTCTCAATTTATATATAAATGGAATTTCGCAACTACTGACAGCTTTAACTGCGAGAGCAGCAGATTGCTACAATCCTACGTGCATGGAAAGCGCATTAATTTTGCTCTTCATCATTAAAGAAGATAGTTCACAGCCTCCGTCTCATATGTTAAATTTTCTTAATTTAATAGTACTACGCTTTTAATAAAAGCACTTAATATGTGCAATTAATTGAGAAACATCATCCTGCTTTGTTTCTCTTACGAGTTTCATCTCAACAAATTCTACAAAATATATATATCATTATGCCAAACTGCCATTTAAATCTTTCAACTCATATTTTCCTTTAAACCGCAGCTCTTTCCGCGGATTCAGCTCTCTTTATAAACGCCAAGTAGGGAGGGAAACCAAGCAGGGCTGCATGATTAGGGAGGGTAAAATAATCAGGTAATAAAAACCTTGACCGATGCTTTCATAGGAAACAAAGGAAGATACAAAAGTTGGCTTCCATTACTGACTCGCTTTGTAATGAGATGACGCACACAGAAATAATGAACCTCATAATACGGACGAATCGATGACGTAATCGCTGTACAATCTCGTCTAAGCATCTCTCCCATGAAACATAAAGGGAATAAGAAATCAATTCTGAAGCCTTAAAATAAAGTGCTGAACAATTGTAATCAATGAACAAGAATCACTAAAGTAAAATGCTTGGTTCAAATTGTTGACTATAAAATAAACTATAAGGAAAGTCAATTTTAGCATTATACCGAGGTTTAACTTGACATATACAGTTTCAGATTCACGAAGAGTGGAGAAGTTTGAAAATTTTCAGATATTCAATCGAGTATAAGAATAATGTAATAGGAATAGGTCAAACAGTTTTAAAAATAATGTGCTTGGCAATAATTTGGTTTATCTATGACAAGTTGTTCCATTAGCAGCTACGATTCTGATAAGGTTTGAATTACGACTCTATAATATCTGGTGCATTTTGAAACAGTAGCGAATTTTGTAGCTAGGGATTCAATAATGACCAAATTCTTGATTGATGTTATACGAATTATCGCTAAATTTAAAGTTGTTATTTTAGACTTAGCGATAATTCGTCTGAGAAGGGTGTAAAAGACTCTTTATTTAAAACTAAATAAGAATAGAAGACACGCTATGTTTACAACTCAGCCAGCTACTTCTAACTTAAAGTAGAAGTAAATTCAAATGTAAAAGTTAAATTCAAATAAATTAGTATCTAAATGCTAGACAGACCAGTTAATGCGAAGTTAGCTCAAAACTTAACTGGCGTGGTATTCACTATCGGTAATTATAATGCAAAGCTGAAGACTACAAATCTTATTTTCTCTAGCAACCACTTAATTTGCATTCTGTGAGAGAAAGAAAGGGAAAAGTGACAGTAAATATCCAAAGCATAAAATAACAGGTTAATAAACATAAAGGAACCTTACAACTGATAAAACATTTCACGTGCTAAAGAAATAATACCTTTAAACTTCTTTAGTTTTATGTGGCTCATTTGGAAACCAGAGTTACTTTGTATAAAATCGGCAAGAACACGCGTGATATCACGCTAAATCATAATTGCTTAGATAACAGTTTGAACAAGTTAATTAAATTGCATCAAGCTGGATATCCTGTAATATTTTTTGTGAAAGGTAGCGTAAAGGGGAATTGCTCAGTATCCCTCCTAAGAAACGTATCAGTTAAAAAAGGAGTAAATTTTGCGAAATTTCAATAATTTATTGTTAATAGGAATGGTTATTTAAATATGTAACAAAATTTTTTGATTCAGCCTAAGGAATACGAAGCCCCCAATGCACAACCAGCAGAAGAAATGTTATCACCTGAGCAATGATCGAAATAATTAAATCACAAATAGTTCAATATCCTATGTGCGCAGTATATAAAAGGAATAAGTTAAAGTGAAAATAAATGAGACCTGAAGTTAAATTAAAGTGGAATAAGAAACAATGTCTTGGTATTTCCATTTTCTGAAAGAGTTCTACGGTGAACACCCAGTTTTTATTTATCGACTTGTTAAGGACCTTGAAGAGCAGGCACGTTCTATGAATATATAATACGTCAAACATTTTCAATGACCTCACTGAACTTACTTAGGATTTCCATTGAGTTAACAACTCGTTTTAAGGCTCAGATTTTGAATTCTCGAATCTTGCATAGTTTTTTCACTGTTTAAAGTTTCAAATATTAAATAAAAGAGTTTTATTAAAATTTTGAGCTACTTCGGATAACTGTATAATATACTAATACTAAAAATTGCTTTCAACGAAATCTGACCTTAAGCAAAACTCGTAAATAACTAATATTTTCCTCTCTACGTCTAATTCATATTCTCTCTTCTTATAGTGAGTATTTCAAATCAGTATTGAAAGATGATGAGAAGGATTGATTGGCAGTGTGTAAAACTGTCTATGTTGAAATCTGACCAGTGAATCAACGTCTTAAGTTAAAAAAGTACAGTGAAACTGTCTTTTGCTTTCATCTAAAAATGGAAAGCTTATAATGAACATGTAACATTAAACTACTTATCGGTGACTTTATTTTACTTCTGAAGAGAATTTATTTCCTTCGACCTGAACGATGTGTAGTTTTCATGTCATTTCAATTGCTTAGAATGTTTTTTCTTCCTATAATAATAAACGACAACAAAAGTCGTTAATGCAACTATTTTTGTTGCCATGAATACATAACATGAGATATAAGCGTTCTGTTAGCACAGGAATTAATATTAAGTATTAACTCAAATTTGCTTCTCAAATGTAAACAAAAAGAAAAGTTGCATAGAAAATATCTAACATTTAAGGCCCAGGAAAGCCCGTACCTTGATAGAGAAGTACTTTACATCTTTGCAAAGTAGTTACATATTTGTCTTTCAGGTAGATTTGCATACATGATAAGAACTTTTTTACTTGATGTTTCAACAAATAAATTATTCAAGTAATGTTTAACTTTCGATACATTTCTTCGATCTACATAGATTTGACAGCATTTATTGTAGTACTCTGTTTTGTTCTCAGTGGTGTGAAACATGATAGCTGACAGGTGTAACGACAGTTGTCATTTCTTTGCAAAAAAGAACAATGAAAAAAATATCATTATAACAAACGAAAAGTAAAAACTATCTAAATGGAAATACTCTTAACACTTCCATCTAACTGTTGTCGATGACAAAAACTATAAAAATGTTTATAGAGCCCTTTTATGTTTCATTTTACTTTGGCGGTTGATTATATCTTTGGAAGCAAATAAGTGCTGCAAAATTTAGTCACGCGATGAAAATAGTTTCTGCTGAGAAAAAAGAGTAATCATTTTTATCATAGATAAACATATTGATATTTGTGGAACTTAAAGTAAAATGTATTTTGTGAGGTAAACTTCCTTTTCCCTGCTTTACAAACATTTTAAACATAGATAAATCTCAACTAAATATATTTATTTCCATTTAAACTATAGAAGCACCTGCCATTTGCAGCTAAGGATTTCCTTTCTAAAGAATCCCGAGTTACGAAGCCCAGTATTTTTCTCAAGTCACTTTCAAGGAATGTAAGTTATAAGCAAGTTATTATAACTGTGTTGGGAGAATCTGTCAATGTTTATTTTTATGTCATTATAAAAAAAATCCTAGAAAATGATTAGAAATTTTCATTAGAATGTTTTCGAGGCTTTTAATTCATATCTCATCTGGTTCAAAATTATTGTAAATAGAGATTGTAATTTAATACAAATATCATGTTACTGAGTATCATTAGAGTAAATACATAGTTAGGAATTATATTTAAAATGCAGATTGGAATTTCTTTAAGATAGACAAAAGAACATTTTTTAATGTGAAGGATATCTAGAGAAGATATGATTTCACATTATGAAGATTTCGAAAACTCAGGAATAATTCGATATAAAAGTAATGGTTACTTTTTGAGCATGATAAAAAACTGTAGACGACATTACAGAAAATTATACCTTGCCTCGTGCTATAAGAATATGCATTTTACGTACAGCAGTTTGAGAATGTACAGTTTATTGTACAAATATCTCGATGATAACATTACGTGATGAAAAAAACGAATGATTAGTCAAATTTATTTAAAATAGAAAATTAATAATGCAGTGTTTTAGAGCTTTATATATCCTTATAACAGAACCTTTAAATGTTTTAGTGAAATGGTACAAAAGTAATTATTTAATAATTTAAAAATAAGTAACTTCAGTTTAATATAAATATGAAGCAGATTAAATAAATTAAAATGAACTTATGCTTTAAGTTTTTACTTCCTTCTCTTGTTTAACGAAGATTTATGCAATTCCTTCAAATTGAAAAACAAATAATGTGGAAATAGTTAGAAGTTTAAGAATCTATACGTAAATTTTAGTTCAGAATGATTCATATAGTTCTGAATCTGAGAAAAGTAAATACTTATAAAAATCGTATTACTTCAAATGTTTTACGAAACCACATCCACTTAAGCCTTAGTTTTTGACGCCATGGAGACGTTACGTTACGCTTTTAATAATTATTATATTAATTTTACACATAAAGAGAGTTTCGTCTTAAAACTACTGATGACAGGTATAAGTTCATAGCTTTCAGGAATTTTTCTTTTTAACATTTGGTTAGAATGATCTACATTCTTCATATTAAATGGCATAAAATAATTAAAAGTTAAACATTTCCCTAGATACCTAGATAAAACAACGGATGCATATCCATGCCATATTTTTCGTAGTATCTATTACTGTGTGTATTATTACTGATTTTGTAATCAGTCCAAAAGTACTCTTAGTGTAATATGTTTTAACAAATATAAATATATTTTTACTCTTGTTTTATCAAATTTCGTTTATAAGGGTGAATCAAATTCATAACAAAGAGCCAATAAAATTTCAAATAATAAAATAACAATTTTAATTAGCGGCATTTGTTAGTAAATACAAATTAAGCTGTTTTTTTTTTTTTTTTTCTTAAATCGCTGCTCAAGCGTTTTACGGTTCATTATTCTTACAAAGAATAAGTAATTATATGCATGTGTGAACAAAATATTTTATGAGTCTTAGATTTGGATGAAGTTGTTATAAAGTACTTCCTCTTGGAGTAACTTGAAGCACGCTCAAAGCGTATTCGGGAGGTCTGAAATTCGAATCCCGGTGATGATTCGAATACAGAGGATTTATACACAGGATTCGAATCCTCTGTATAATTGTTCCTTTTATTCTTCTTGTACGTATAGTATAAACTTTGAAGGCTTTACCTTAAGAAAAAATGAAATTTTTCATATAAAATTATTTTTTATATACAAGGGTCTCAAAAGGTCGTTGCCAAACTTAACATGCTGGTTTGTTCGCAAGCGTAGAGAGGAAGAAAGAAAGGGCGTCGAATAAGGTATTAATATGACATTTATTTAAATAATATATTTAAATCATAGAAGATGTTTAAAATTCCTTCAATTCGCCAAATTGCATGCTTCACAACGTCGACGCATGGAATCGCGTACCCGTTCAAAACGGGCAGGTGTGTCACGGACACGATCCTGGCGACGAGATCCATAGCCGATGTTACGATCCCTTCGCACACCATGGATTTCATGTATCTTGACAGGCATAAATTCAGGGGGTCAGGTCGGGAGATCGCGGTGGCCATGCGACTTGTCCGCTTCTGCTAATCCAGAGATCAAGATATGTCCTATGGAGGTATTCTCATACAATGCTGTTAAAATGTGCAGGCGTTCCATCATGCTGAAACCAGATGTTTAAACGTGTAGCTGCTGGAACGTCAAAAAACAGATCCGGTAAAATTCTTTCCACAAAACGTCCCTAAAGAACTGAGTTACTAAACCGATTTATCCTTCTCCTGCAGCGTCCTCGCCTGAAATGATCACATTTCCCACTCTCCCATAGGCCTGCGAATATTGCCCTCTAGAGGTCGCCGTTCGTATTTTCTGACACAAGTTCCTATGCAAATATTGTTTGTCATGGTATGACAGACCGGCATGTTAAGTTTGGCAACGACATTTTGAGACGCCCTATAGAATGTCACAATTTCATACCGCTGCGGTTCCGTCATTTTCTAAAGTAGCTTTGCCTTCGAGAGAAAAAAGGGGAGCAATTCGCGGGAGTGTTTCGTTTCAACCTCGAAGGGAAATGGCAGTGGCTTTTAACCGATCAGATATCTTATAAGGTATTTCTCCCGCCTTCTTAGCATGCCTTTGTAGTGTAATGGTCTGCACGCTGGGCGCGTATTTCAGAGGTCCGTGGTTCGATTCCTGGAGAGGGCGTTGCTAAGTTTTCATCTCTCCTGCTTCAAAAAAATACGTAATGTCTCTACAATCTGACCGCGTTAATTTTATAGTCAATACCAAACGTGGGGAAGCCAAAAAATAAAATACCATCATTCAGTCTGTTTGTATTGAAATGCTGTTATTTCTCTTTCGGAATAGCGGATACTTACAGAAAAATTTTTTAAATGCAGATTTGAATATAAAGCACAAGCATTGAATTTACGCTGCTGTACGCACAATCACACTGTTGTCACAGAATCACAACACCGCCGAAAGTAAGAATTAGATGATTTGCTTCAAAGTCGAATTAAATTTGTCGGCTTGGAGACCTGAGCTCTTTCCCATTATTACAGAAGTTCTTGTTGATCGCTCCTTCGTAAATCAGGTCTGAATTATTCGGATTAATTACGCTTTTTCAGGGCGTCATTTACAAGAATGCATCGCCACCGCATGAACAAAAGTTTGTGCTTCTGTCTTTTGTAAACTTCTGCATTTAACATCGCATGTTTCCATTAAAATTTCATATACTTAGGGAAAGTGAATTAACTAATTTTATAAATTTTGCAATTGGATGAATTCAAAAGAAATGACTGAGAAGAAAGATTTGTAAAACTTATATGTATCAAACATTTTTTTAAATTCAAACAAGGTGTCAAATTTTAAAATTTTCTTATTTAAATGTTTTTTAATCCTGAACCTTTCAGTGATGAATGATGAATGAAATACCTCCACAAACTTACCTGAAGATGCTTAATCTGAAGTTAACAAAAGTAGATTTTATGGTCCTCTTCTATCAATGTCCATTCTTACTCGTCAAAAATAAAATTGCCGGTCAACATCAGCAAGAAATTTATGAAGAGTAAAAATTCGTCCAATTAAAATGTCGTATATATAACACAGTTATTGAAATGGAATAAAACGACACTTAATTTGGTTCAGATTTTAAAATCGTATTTTGCAGGAAGGCATTAACAATAAACTTTTATAATTTAAACAAACGAGAAAACTTTAATTGTTTAAGTAGCCTACGTCACGCCCTCTTAATTTTTCAGTTGTATAAAAATATTTAATAATTAGAGTAAAACAAAGGTAAAAACGTAATGAGTAGATTTAATAGTATCACTTATAAACTATTATAGTGTTATTTGGTGTTTTCTGTCAAATGTGATGACTTATCCAAGGAATGCTTGAAGACATTTCGTACAAGCTAATACTGTAAAGGGTTATAAACCGTTCACAGAAGATACTGAAATATAGTTTCGGAAGAAAATGGTTGTTTGAATAAGGCAACGCACACAAGGCCTAACTGCCTAAGGGAAGGAATAACTTTGTGGAGAGTTTTTCTGAGGGAAACTTGCTCGCATTTACTTTATACAAAGGAAAACAAGAAAAACAGTCATGCAACCAACCCATTCGCCAATATTTAGAGGAAGATAGACTTAGCTTTGTTTTGTAGAAAGAATTTCACTAGTCAGTTTTGCTTGAAATTAGCCATAATTTTGTACTGTATTTGTAGAGCTTTCTTTGCATTATTAAATGACTAAAAATAACATTGATCACTAAATGGTACAGAGAACGCATTAGAAAGACTACGATCGCAAATACCATATATCGTTTTAAAGAAATGAGTAGGAATGAAAAAAGGAATTTTAGCTTTAAACAACTTCAGTAACCTGGTTTAAGAAAGATGTTAAGTATATAAAGGATCAGTGTATAAATTTCAAAATAGATGCTAACTTTCAGCTCAGCAGAATTGAGAAAAATGTATCTAAGAATTCGGAAAAAGGAAATTACGTGAGCTCTGGAGGGAAAGAAAAAGCTAGAAGATGGAGAAACGTAAAAATCCTGATTCTTCGCATTAAAGTTTCTGAGGAAGTAGTTAGTTTAATAACATTTTGATGCCCTTAAACTTCACTTATTTTGTTTCTGAAAACATTGTCATTTTTCTGAGGTAGGTTTGCAGTATTTTACATTTCACTCGTGATCAATTCAGCCCAGCCAGATTTTTCCTGGCAAGATTAAAAGCCCGTCATATAATGATATTTATTTGCGGTTTAGAAATATGATAGATAGATTAAATCTTCTGATTAATTCCTGATTGAGGACGTGCATGCAACTCTTTAATATTTTAATTTGGCGCGGTTATCTGTGATATACTTATGTAAGTTTGGACCGGAGTTGCTAAGCAACTAACTGAGCGCGAATATTATAGCGCCATCTGAGTGCCTAATTTCTTGAGTGTTTCCTACAGTAGAAAAAAAGTAGTGTTTGACTACAAGGTAAGCATTTTTTTTTACATTTCTTGCTCTCAATTTTCTGTGAAATACACAGAAGTTACAGCTTAATGTGATTCCTTTTGTCCACACTTAATTTGATAATATTAACGGATTGACAGCATTATAAAAGATGAGACAAAATACCCTTAAATTTAGCAATATAATTTACCTAATTTAAATATAAGTAAAAGCATATCAATACTTATTTTCACAACAATTTGACTAAGAAAAAAGTCGTTACAGGAGGATTATCTGCAAGTGATATGCAAAAGTTCATTTATGAACTTTGTCTAATATAAATGTTCATTTTAATGTTCATTATGCCTTATATCAGATATAGATAATTCTCCGATTTCATTTTTACATTCCTAAAAAAGAAGTTTATTACATGATGTGCCTGGATTTGTTTATTTGTCTCCCCCCCCCAGAAAAGTGAAATTTTTAATTCTTGCAGAGGAAGAAGACTCCTTGGAAAAGAACGAAGTGAAGTAAACAAAATATTACTATTTATCTGTCATGTGAAATTGGAGAACTAAACAAAAATAATACCACACAGAAGACTGAAAATGCTTTTGCTTATTTTACTTTAACCAGATTGCTTGCTCTTCTAGTCTGTGGATAAATAATGCAGATGCTCATTCAGCTGGTGTAAATGAAATCAAAACTATTGCAGGTCTCTTGTGCTTTGTAAGTAGTTCTCATGCTTCTAATCACGTTTAAATTTAAATAACTATGTTATTCAGTAGACGCAAAAATTTTCGATTAATGATAAATCAGAAACAATTTTCACTTTTTTTACGTCATAAGGTTTGATTACAACTCAAAGAGTAGGCACGGAAAGTGGCCTACTCTGAAATGTGAGCAGAGTGGGCGCAGAAAAATTTCGGCTTATGATAAATCAGAAACAATTTTCGTTTATGTCAAAGTTCTTAAGGTTTCATTATAACAGTTCAAAGGGATAAAACGAGCCTTAGCTTGCTATTAGTGAGGAGTTGAAACAGTTTGTTAAAAACTGGAATAAAAATTATTCTCAGGTTCTCAGGTGCGAATGTTACAATCAATAAGAAACTTGAAGGATTTTGTGGTTTCAAACAATGCATACTGATACACTACGAAAATATCATATTAAAATTTATGTGACGAAAATTAAGGTTTATGGTGTGCTGCAATCATTGACTATATGAATCATGAAGTAACCGAAAGGGTTTCCGCATATCCTTCAATAGTAACAATCTCAGTGTAGCAAGCACAAAAAGAAAGCAGCCAAAGCTTACGTTATTTTCTATGCTCAGCTTAGTAAAAATTAATTTCCAAATAATGTTTCATAGAAAACATGAATGAAACAATAGCAAAAAGAAAGCTGAGGATGTTTCTCAATCAACCTGCCTTACTTGTAATCTTGAAATCTTGAAGTCTTGTAATCTTGAAACTTGTAATCTTAATTCATGACTGCGGGTTGGCACTAATGGAAGGCAAGTTGAAAGTGATTATGAACTATTTCGAAACAAACAAAATTTCACTGGAAAATTATGTACGTACATGGTGTGGCTGTAGTGACAACAAGGGTCAGAGGCATGGTGTCCGATGTTCGGTGTGAAACTCCTGATACTCCTTCATTGCTTTACTCATAGAGAAGCTGTCATGTCTAACAATTTAACTCTAGAACTAAAGTCGCCATTTAATTACATTATAAAAATGGTGGACATTGTTAAAGGTAGATCTTTTCGATTACGTCTTTTTTGACTTTATGTAATGAAATGGGATCAGAGCATCAATCGTCGGTTTTTCGTGCTGATGTTCATTGGCTGTCGAGAGAGAAATGAGTCTACAGTTCTAGAAATTTCTAGAGTCCATGAGTTGAAAGAAGAGTTGGTTAATTTTGGCCATTAATATGTTAAAAATCCAGTGTTGATAAGACTTTTATTTGTATATTTTTTTATTTCATTTGTTTTTCTATTAATTATCATCACGTCGCGGAATTTTTTTCGCATTTTTTTAATTATTTAAGATTTAAATTCAGATACTTTATTTTACAAAATTAATTAGCAAATTTGAGATTGGAATAAAGATTTTGTTGAGAAGTACGAAAAGACGAAACACGATCCTTATGAATTATTGGTGATTGTATATAGGTATTCCAATTATTCTTGAAAAGTCGGGATCTTTTTGTGAAATCAATAACGATTTTATTGTTCTTTTTTGTTTAAATTTACTTTTTATTAATTTAGCATTTTTAAATTACCACTTCCGATTTACGAATCTTTTAGTGTGATGATATACAACTTTGAGTATCTGTCTGCTCATAAATGTCTCCGGAGTTTTAAAAATTCGCTCTTCACGCAGTGAAGATTCATAACATCATGTATTGCTATAGGTATGCATTGCTCAGCAAATAGTGTGCAAGTCTGCACTCCTTCGTCTGCTTCTTTACACATAACTCTGTTATTCTTCTTGCCATCTTTATTGTACGCCTTTCCACCATCATTCTCATTTCCCAGTGCATATCTGATTATTTCGTCGTCATTTTGAGAGTGTGACAAAAACAAACTTGTTTAAATCCACCTCAAGTGGCACCGCCTCTTCTCCGAAAATGTAACTGAATTCAACATGCTGGACACGGTGCCGAACGTGTTTAAAAATCAAAAGAATTATTGTCACTCGACTCGTCATCTTTGAACATAATCATAGATTACAGTGTATACCAATACGACGTAAAGTAATGTTATTTATACCTTCTCAGGCCAAAGTACGTCGTTCTAAGTAAGGCGTCTTAAAATATGAATTGTTTTTGAAAGTTATGGACCTTACCTTCAAAGTTCACACATGGACGTATGTAAATGAATCATCCTTACATTCTGACTGACTTGTTTCGTTGAGCGCAGAAGTATAACACAAATGTTTTCCATTTTTAAATCTTCAAATAGTTAGCCAATTACATAGTCTTATACCATACGTATAGTTTTCAATTTTAAATTTAGACCTTTAAAAATTCTGTTATTTAATATTGCCGGTTAAGAAGGATTTTATTATACCTTAATTTAGAATTATTTTCGAACTCTCGTTTGCCGCTAACGGTAGGTGGAGTAATCACAAGCCTCGTAAAAATAGCATTTTATTAAATATTTCAGCAATATTATTTTATTATTTAATATCAACACCCAGTACAGTACTCCATTTTAAACATAATAATAAAAATATATTGCCGTTTATATTTTTATTTTTCAGGAGAGAAGAAATGGAAGGAATTAATCTTAAAATTGCCTGTCTTAATGTAAGTAAAAAAGGAATGTTAGCTTTATTTACCGTAATTCTGTTTTCCTTTTAACTCAGCATAATGTATGATTAGCGGGTAACATGCGACAAAATGTTAAAAATTCAAACAGCATATGCATACATGCTGTTAAATTTCAGAACAGTAATGCTTGTGTGTAACAAAATAGTTCATTATATATAAATGTCATAAGGAAAGGAATTTAATTTATGCAGGTGTTTCTAATTAAGTATAATGCTTTAGGAATACTGTGGTATTAAATGTAAGTTATTAGGATCTGGTCTGTATCCATTCATTAATTCAGAAGTTTAGTCTGAATTTGTGTATTAGTGAGTTACAGAATTTTCAACTCTAGTCAAATTAAACTGATGTCAGGCTTTGAAATAAAGAGTTAACTCTAAAATAAAATAACTAAGATTTGTTTAGACCACATTTGTGCTTTGCAACGAGGGACAACACAAGCCAAACGATGTCTTCATTCAGATTATAAAGCACAATCAGAACTACTAACTAAATTAAGTATGAATCAGTGCTTAACTAAAAATCTCTCAAAGTCTATTTTCTTCTACGACTGTCATATAGTATTTTCATAAAGTAAACCATAGTTGGAAGTTGGAAGTCTAATGCAGCCACAGATATAAAAAAATTACTGACGGCCGGCGTTCTACAATACAAACGGTAGACATGCAACACTTGGGTATCGCTTTTAACTCTTCTTCATTTAATTATTAATTTAATAAATTTGAAAGGAGCGAGTTAAATGAAGCCGAGAAAAATGAAATGGAAGAAGATCTAAGGAAACAGCCAATAGAAAATTTGATTTTTTTATAATTCTTAAACCTGAGACTAGAAATCTTTGAATAAAAGCGTAATTAATGAGTGATCTTAAGGAAAATGTTTACAATTATGAAATACATGTTCTACTTACATTATTTTCTACTAGGATTTTCCTTTATAAAAAGCGTTAACAGGGTGATGCAATCTGCTTTTGTTCAATTTAGACAGCCACAGAATTGAAGGATGATACAAAATGATCTATCCAATGTTTGAAAGCTAAAAGGTGCAAGATAAAATCAGATTGATAGGAGATGAGATCTGGCACTGATCTTCTAAATTCCAACAGTATTATCGTAGGTTGTCTGCTTTCGGCTTGACTGTGTCCTCTGTCTTCTCGACATTCTATCTCTAATCTTTTCAATTAAACATTCCTCAACGTTTTCTCTGAATTTAATTCAAATAGTCTTTACTTTTCCCATATGAACTTTCCTAATTCTAGTCTTTCGCTCTTTTCAGTTCGTTACTCTAAATGAATCGTATTAAACATACTCCTGTCAATTTTTTTCTAGTGGTTCCCCCTACATTTCACTACAGATTTAATTTCAGCAACTTTAATTTGATTTGTAATAGCTAAATCCAAGTAGTGCAGAATTCAGTGTCGCTAAATCTTTTAATACAGAATCTGAAATTTATTCATTTAAGTACTTGGCTAAAAACTCAACATAGATGGAAAATTAAATAAATCTTAAAGTGCCTTCATTCTTTTCTTCCCTTACTTTCCTTACCTTCATTTTCAACTAAACTCATTTCAGAAATTTTTGATCCTAGATATAGACTCTCCTCCTCGATCTCGAGGATAAATTTCCACTCTCGACTTTCTTGATTTGTATTTCCAATGTCGAGAAGGAAAATGATTCAGAACAGCTATGAAGTTGCTTTACTCTGATTTCAAACCTTGCATTAAATGCATTGAGTGAAGCTTTACATCTTTTCTGTTGCAGGTTGCTACGAATCAAACTTGAGTCGCGGGTCGAGGAATTAATGTATTGTTCGCCAACTGGAAACCTAGCTTGTTAATCTAATTTTTTCAACACTAAGTTTGAGCTAGGCAGTTGTCCGCCAGTTGTAAAGTTAATTATTTCATTCACTCACAGCTCTTGATCCTACAGGCGATGTTCTTGAAAAATGGACAAAAGACTTTATTCTTGAAATGATAATTCATCAGGAGTCACTCTATGTTTTTAAAACATATGGAGTTCTTATATTTCGTATTAATAGTAGTTTTATTTATTCTGATCCTGACATATGAGCACATATCCACAGCTCTACTTGGGTATTCAATCTTCCATCGCCGAACACAATTTTCACTTTTAAACTTCAATGTATTGTCCCAGGGTAATTTATCACAGTGGAAAATATATATCATTAGACAAATAGTAGGTCTTACCTTTTTAAATTTTTTTAAAAATAGAAACGACTAAGCTATATCAGCTCCAGGAAATAAGACATATCCTTCTTTCTCCGAATAAAAGCCTCTATTGGAAGTTTTGACTCAATACAGTAGCAATAACAGACCCCTGAAACCGGAAACCCAATCTTCCAAACTCCTAAGAGACTCTTTAAGAATTTATGTAGGATAAAAATGTTCTCTTCTCCCCACAGGCTGTAAATTACCAGAATATTAACAAATAGCCTACTTAACCGAAGTGGTGGACTCTCTTTTAAGATTTTTGCAACGTACTAGCACAAAATATCAATTTTGCTTCCACGAGCGGAATTTCATTACGTTTCAAAATAACAGTACAGCCAGGGAACGCGAATAATTTAATGGAATTATTCAAATAAAAGAAGAATTCCGACAACTATAAAACATTGATAGTAGTCTTATTCTTTCAAACTTTTACAAGCCGGTCTATTTAAAAATACGTTACATGTTCTACAGGTTTTTCATTCCAGTTTTAGATTTTTCGTCAGTTTTAGATATCCGAAGTCGTTAGTTCACTATAAACAGAACAAGCGTCAGAGCTAGTGCAATCGAGAAGAAGAGAATTAGAGGCGAAAAATTTTTAGAATTTGGAGTAAGACGCCACGAGGCGGAACGTAACATTACAGAGATTGCACCGACCCTCAAAAAGTCTAGCGTCAGCCCTGTCCATAAACAAAAATTTTAATTCATCCAATACGTATGGGTCAGCACCAAAGACTCAAGTTCACAATAGTTAATGTGGATTAAAATTAAGTTAACAGTAAGCGTATTTGATTGTAATTTTATAATGGAATAAATACATTTGCATTTTAAAACTTTTATTTCTTTTTCCGAAGAATGTTTTAAAAAAATCTTTTGATTACATTTTATTTTTAAATATTAATTTTATGATGTGAAACAGCAGAATTTTTTTCTTAGCATCCTCCTTATGTTGTAGTCAATGAAACAGAGCAAGGGCGTTGGGAACTGAGTGGTGGAATAGATGCATTTGTTATCAAACTTTTGCAACAAAAGTATTGTTTCAAGTAAGTACAATGTGTGAACGAATCTAACCTTTTTACTTCTTAAACAGTTCGAAACTTCTAAATCTCTTTTGCTCTAAATGAACAACATTGCTGAGAAATTTTCCTAACTTACATTTAATCAAAATTAAATAAAACTGAAACCATTTTATCCAGCGCAATTACTAGAAAACTGTTTGAATAAATCTAGGATGCATCATACCGAACAAACAGTAGTAATATACCGAACAACACGTGTTCTTTCGAAAGAATGAAAAAGATGATATTCCTGTGGTATCATTTTATAAAATAACTATATTATGTCTTATTATCTAGTCAAATAGTTCTACTCTCTCACATTATGTTACAAAGCAGTCTTATATTGTCTCATGTATTCTTTAAATAGAAATTATACAGTAAAACGTGTAATAGCAAACAACAACAAAAGTATAATAAGAACCACAAAAAAAGATTACCAACAATGGGCGAAACGATTTAAGCAATAAAATAAGTATGTATTAAAAACTTCGGCAGTTATATATTTTTGCGTTTTGAAACTTTTCTGTTACAGATCGTAATGCTACAGGCCGAATTTTTGCCGTCCTTACTCCGTGCCTCCTTGGCACAACGGGCAGTATATTCGGCTAGCAATCAGAAAATCGCGAGTTCGAATCCGGTGAAGGCACTGCTAATTTTGTTTCATGTTCCAAATAATACTTCATAACGTCTCGTGTACTTTGGTACCAAAAACTAAGCTCGGATTCTGAAGAGTATTTAGGGAATTATCCCTATGTCTTTAGGTACGAGAAAGTCAGAAGAAGGGTGTAAAGAATCCTTTATTAAGTTCACAGATGGCACAACTCGTGCTTATAAAAACCATCATTTTTGGTTTAACTCAAAAAGGTAACGAACTTTATCGAATGAAAGTTAACTCAGCCGACGGCTTCACAGGTTAATTAACGTGCAGGCTGGCATTTAGACAATTTTCCTAAAGTACACGACTCGTAAAAGTCGGCGTAAACAAGCTGAATGGCAAGAAGCGCTCTGCCATAGACATCTAATCGTTGGAGAAATCAAGATAGCAATGTGGCCTTCAGGCAAGCAGAACACTCTCTGAATTTATCTTTAAAAATATTCTTTTGACTACTAACTTCTTTCTACCTTTTTGAATACATTCGCGCTAGATCATTTACATTCTGGCAAGAAGGCGTGAGTTGAAAGCAAGAGCAATAGGAAAGGCTGCTTCAACATAAAATAACTTGTTAAATGAATACTCACAACTTAAAATCTCTACAGTGGCATCCTACTAAAATGTGGTGGATGATGTTTCGTCACCAGCGGGATCTGTCTAATGTCTCTCTTTTCTCTCTCATTCTATAATAGAGGGAGCACGTGAGGAATTTTGCCTCTTCTTTAATCCATGCTTTTGTGGTATAACTGAAAGTAATTCCGGTTAGCATACAGAACTTTGGAGATCTCGGCAACCGCATTGCTGATTTTTCATGTTTCGTGCTCAATAAAACCTAATGTCTCAAGAGCTTATACTCAAAAGACTTATAGGTCAGCAGTTCTTTCTCCTTCTTTTCTTCCGTCGAATCTTAATGTAGCTAAATGCGTTTTAAATGATGAGTTATGAGCACTTTCTGAAACGGCCCACCAGTTGCTGAGCGGACAAGACCAAAGAACATTGGTTGTTCGACCTGTGTTAAATTCCTGGCGAATAGGCGTTTAGACTATTTTTCCAATGTGTAACTGGACTACGAGCCAGTTTCGTTTGGAAAATTCTTTCCTTATTCAAGTAGCCCTGGTGTGCTTTATTATAACTTGATAAGTCTATACCAATACAATCTAATCATTCCTAAAAGGATAATTTCTTACCACATGTACGGCTGCCTTATATGATGTCAGTATGCAAGTATTTTAATATTTACGCTTTTTATTTCATCTTTTATAGCAAACGCATCACCCATTGCATGTATCTAAATTATGGAAACATGCAATAATGTGAGATAAGACTGTGTTTCACTTAAATGTGAACTGGTTGTAGAGACATTAGGATTTTTGTGGAAGTAGGAGACTTGAAAAATGAGCAACGCTTTCGCCGGGAATCGAACCATGGACCCCTGGAATATGCGCCCAGCGTGCTGTCTACACTAAGAAGGTACGCTAAGGAGGCGGGAGAAATACCTTATATACTCCCCCTTTTAAAGGGCTACTGGGGTTTAGGGGACCGAATCGCCAAATCCTGGGTGTGGAGAATCATCATCCACCACTAGAGTTCCCATCTCTCCCGGAAATTGAGTCGTGGAAATTAAAATCTCCCGGCTCCCGGAAGGAATTTAGATAAATATTACTCTCCTGGAATATCAAGCTTCTCGAAAATAACGACACAATGCGCACGAACGAAATGGTTGAGAGCATCGAAAATCACACGACCGCGCACAGCAGCCAAAGACTTGTCTATGTCAATACATATTCTTTGCAGCAGCGATCTACCGTGAACGGTGAGCGCCTTACCGGATGATTAGTGGTTTCATGCCGGCGTATCGCGCGCATCATGTCCCGTCATCCTCTCATTTCCAATCCATTCTTTCATTTAGTCTGCAGTTAGCTAGCTATCCATAAACAAGTGCGTATTTTGAAATTATTTAAATGCTTTCATAATAACGTCTAGTGGAGAAAAAAAAAAAAAAAAAAAAAAAAAAGATTCTGATTCTGTAAGTGAACAAGTGCCACAAAAAAAGACAAAATATTCGACGTCGTTTCAAGACAAGTGGTTAACTCAATTTAATTAGCTTATGAAGAGAGACAACTTTAACGAAGAATGTAAAGTATGTCGGAAAACAATTAATATTAAGTACGAGGATGTTAGAGCTTTAACTGTATATTTCCGAAGCAAGAAACAGCAGTCGTTAATATTGAATAGGGATTCATCGCAATCGGTTCGAACTTTTTCGTGAAGAAATCTTCAGAAGAACAGGACAATATATCGGCAGTTGAAATTACATCATTCTATCATAGGCTTAAGCACCATCACACTTTTAATGGCCAGGATTGCACAAATTGTATAGCACTCTATTTCCAGATTCTTCTTTGGAAAAAAACGATTTCTTGTGGTAGAACAAAATGCACAAGTATTTGCGAGAGTGTGCTTGCTCCTGCAGCTCAAAAAATACTTTTAAACGAGATTAAGGAGGCAGAAGTTTTTTTAGTTCCGACTATGCCTAAAGGGAAAGATGTTTTAGGTAGGAATTTCTAAGGAAAAACTTATAATGTATTTATGCCGCCTTCTTAGCATGCCTTCGTGATGTAGTGGTCAGCAAACTCGGCGCGTATTCGAGAGGTCCGTGGTTCGAGTCACAGCGAGGGCATTGCTCATTTTTCATCTCTCCTGCTTCGAAACAACGTAATGACTAGCCTGAAAAGAAAATTTAATTGCACGAAATGAGCACGAAATCAGCACTTATATAAGAAATTAAATTTAGACTCTAGTTTAAAGGAGCGAAATTTTTATCTTTCTTTTTATCTCTAGTAGTTTACATGGTAGCAAATGAATTCAGTTGATGTTGTGGATAAATCCAATTTAAAAAACTTTAGACTCGCATGTATTTCTCGAAACTGCTGTAAAAACTTTTCAGCATATTTTGTATAATGTTGATAAAATTAATGCCAGTCTTATAAGACATTTTCGTAAACTGCGTAGAATGACCTTGCGGTGGAAAATCCCGAAGTATGGGATACTCGTATTTTTGTCCCCCAGATTAAGAACGGGGAAATCCTGCAGCAGGCTGTCGTCATGAACCCCGATGTTATGAAAACATCTTTAGTTAACGTTTCTGCTGAAACCCTGCGTCGAGCAGTTGCCCTTTCAATATTAAAAAAAGAAAAGAACGAAATAAAATGTCCTTGGAGAAAGCGACAACTTGGCGCAAGCATTAGAAAGCGTTTCCCGCGAGAGAAGAAAAAATTTTGAATAAAATTTATTTGAAACACGTGCTGGGGCGCTTGACCCGATAGATGGATTACTGGTGCTCCTCATACTCCCGTCCCTTTTTTTTACTCATGGTGATTCTTATTTAAAAAAATGCTTCCTGCGATCTTACTTTAGGTCGCTTATGTGTGTTTTGCGAAGCATCTAGATACATGCGCATCCCTTAAATATTCTACAGCACTTATTCAAATGATCTGTGACTGAATGTTAAATTAAGGAATATGTCAATGTTTAACACTCCGGTTTATATTTTAGTATCAACTCTCGAAGCTGCGTACTGTGATGCTGCGGAAAATTAATTTCTCGGGTAAACTGTTTCATTTGTCTTTCAGTTATACATTTCATGCATTTGATGTACCGCTCATTAGAAATTTAATCGGATACTCAAAAAGAAATTATGTATATATTTGACTTTGTTAATTTTATTTCCTTAAGAAACGCAATATGCATACGCGTGACCATATAGAAACAGTAAAGGAAGCCTAAGAAAGACTTTTGAACTCCACGAACGTATTATGATTAGCAGGGAAAGAGTATATGAAACTTGATAAACTTCAGTAGAGTTTGAATTAAGTACAGCATAAAGCATTTTATTTATTTATATTTACTCTGAGGTGAGAGTAAATCTAAAAAGCATTTTTATTAAAGCTGTAAGTACCAAAAAGTTTAATTTTAAATTTTAATTAATAGGAGAACTGCAATCAGAAAATCATTTAGTTAGATTCTGTACATATTCAACTAAATATATACCGGACCTTGTTAAAATCTTATGCGGTTTAACAATACATTTAACAATACATTTAATCCTGATTTGTAGCACAACTCCATATTCACATAATTGAATTCAAAGCATAGCATTAAAAGCAATGTACACTGCTGGCCACCGTAAATGCAACACCCTGAAGGAAGCATGCAAATAACATGAAATTTGCAACACGCATTAGCGGAGGTGAGATATGCAAATGATTAGAATTTGCGCAGACGCACATCACGCGCACCTGTGGCGCCACTTCAAAGCGCCATTTAAGGCTTGGAGTTTTCGACGATTTCAAGTTCGGCCATTGTGTTTTTCTTGTGGTTTTTTCAAAAAAAAAATCGATCAATTATGCCTCGTAGTAAACAGCGATCATCGTTTGATCAAGTATCCGAGTTCGACAGAGGTAGGCAAGTGGCCTACCGAGAGTGAGGATTATCTTTCAGATAAATCGGTAGTCGTGTTGGACGAAACTAAACAACTGTAATGCGAATATGTGACCGTTGGCTGCAGGACCGTTGGATGCAACATTGTGCGCATGGCAGTGACTGATCGCTCAGTCACATCACGAGCCATAGCACAGCACATTCAGTCTGTAACGCATCATCCAGTGTCTGCGCGTACTATTTGACGCCATTTACAGCAGAGTGGTCTGTCCGCAAGACTTCCATTGCTACGTCTACCTTTGACGCAGAACCACAGACGTCTCCGCCGCCAATGGTGCAATGAAAGAAAGATATGGACGGCAGAATGGAATGAAATTGTCTTTACTTACGAGTCACGCTTCTGTCTGCAATACCACAACGGTCTGGTCGGATTCGAGTCTGGAGACACCGTGGAGAGAGGATGCTGAATAGCTGCGTTATGAACCGCCACACTGATCCTGCCCGGGTATTATGATATGGGGCGGTATTCGATATCTCTCGCACTCCTCTAATACGCATTGCCGGTACTTTAAACAGCCAGCGCTACATCTCCGATGTGTTGGAGCCAGTTCTCCTCCCTTACATTCAGGGCTTGCCCACAGCCATATTTCAACAGGATAATGCGCGACCACACGTGGCACGCACTGTCCAAGGGTTCTTCGTCAATCGCCAGATTGAATTGCTTCCCTGGCCGGCTCGCTATCCAGATCTTTCACCGATAAAAAACATGTGGTCCATGGTTGCTGAACCATTGACCCAAAATTACATCCCAAGCTGCCACACCAGATCAACTTTGGCAACGTGTGGAACCTGCTTGGTCTGCTGTACCCCAAGAACACATCCAAAGTCTCTTTGAATCAATGCCGGGGCGTGTGGCATGCGACATGCGACGCGGGAACCACCCCTCTACCAATACGGTTAATCGGTATAGCGCCACGTACCACGAGGCGTGTGGCAGCGGTGATCTCCAACAATGGCGTCTATTCTGGCTACTGATTCTGGAAGGAACCACACTTCACGGTTACAGCCTAAGCCATCGCGGCAAAAACATCGTGGACGAAAACGTCGCGGAGAAAGCAACGCAAGGCGAAAACGTCGTGCTACAAAACATCGTGGGAGAAAACATCGCAAAGAGAAGACATCGCAGTTCTAAAACAGCGTGGTACAAAACACCGTCGTCGAAAATAAAGCGGTTCAAAAATTTCGCAGTTTAAAAACATAGTCGTCGAAAATATCGTGGTAAAAAATAAAGTATCTACAAATCATCGCATGACGATAACATCGCAGACATGCTTTATCAGGTTTTAATAAACTGTAAATGAATATTCCCGTAATGATTTGTGAGCGCAAGATGGAAAGAAGGATAATTTTTACTTTCATACTTTTTATTAACTAATAAATTTTTGCTGAGAAAATAAGAAGGAAACTTAAGCATAGAAAATTAATGCAACTTATAGCGCTTAATAGAATTTTAAACCGACATAGTTAACTAACAGAGGCCATTAATTTCATGAAACGTATAATCTATATGTTGCATTTAAATTTCTATGCTTACGTTTTCTTCTTACTTCTTCAGCAAAAAGTTATTAGTTAATAAAAGTAAAAATTATTATTAGTGAAAGTAAAAATTATCCTTCTTTACAACTTGCGCTCACAAATCATTATGGGAATATCCATTTACAATTATTAAAACCTGAAAAAAGCATGTTTGCGATATTATCGTCATACGATGATTTGTAGGTTCTTTATTTTTTACCACGATATTTTCGACGACGATGTTTTTAAACTGCGAAGTTTTTGAAGCGCTTTATTTTTGACGACGGTGTTTTGTACCACGATGTTTCAGAACTGCGATGTTTTCTCCCACGATGTTTTGTAGTACGACGTTTTTGCCTTGCGTTGTTTTCTCCGCGACGTTTTCCTCCGCGATGATTTTGTCGCGATGTTATCGGCGGACACCCACTTCACTGAAGTCTATATATAAATTTAATCATTTGATACTTGGTCAACTTGTTATCTACTAAATAAATTTCGTTGGGATATCTCTTGTCTTTCTTGGTGTTGCAATTTGGGTGGCCAGCAGTGTATAAAATTCAAATTATATATTTATATTATTAGATCAATGAAATAAACATATAACTACGAAAAGAGTCAAAGAAATCATTTTAGTTTCATTTTAGAAAACTAATCAAAATAAAAAAATTCAAAAATCAAAATGAGCTCTGTTTTCAGGCAAATTTATTACGCAAGGAAAATTAAATATTCAGAAGAACTAGAATCATGGTTTGTTAATTCTGTATATTTTACACCAGGTTAAAATTATCCTGTACAATAGTTTTTACTTGACCTTATTATTCAGTTTCATCTTAATCACTGTCATTAGTTCCACCGTAAGAATTTAAAAAATTTTTTTTTTTTTTTTGCATTCAAATAAACCTGCTTGAAAAGTTTCCATTCAATATATTTTAATATTACTATTCCATGAGCCAAACTCGCAGCTTTAGTACTTCTCCGAGTTGAAAATTCACAGTTAAAAAATGTTCTTTCTACTAATTTGCTTAAAATTTACCTCACTTTGTTTTATGTACATAACTTCAAAAACATATGTTTATATTTTTAAATTTAAATAAGTTTTCAAGTTAAATAGATTTAAAAACATATGTTTACATTGTAAAGTATTCATTAAAGATTTCGTTTTCCTGTTTTACATGATTACAAAGTCTACATTACAAATTTCTAAAGAACACATTAATGTCGATATATGTACCTTTGTCATTATCTGCCAACGGTATGTTTACATTGTAAAGTATTCATTAAAGATTTCGTTTTCCTGTTTTACATGATTACAAAGTCTCCATTACAAATTTCTAAAGAACACATTTATGTCGATATACCTTTGTGATTATCTGCGAACGGTAGTTTCAGCTACGGTAATAACTACTGCCCTAGCTATTAATGATTGGAAATTTTATAAGTTGATCAATAGCTATCAGTTATTAATACGCAAGTTATTAAAATGCATTCGTTATAATTTTTTATTCTTTCATTCATTATTATTCAGTCATACTAAATACCATTGATTAAACATTTTAATCAACGTGCTTCGCATAAAAATGATATATGAGAAAGCATGCAAATTTGAGAGGTTTAATAAGTATGGGAAAGAAATTAAATAACTCGACATTTTTAAAAGCATTGCGTTAATACACCATATTTTGAGTTAATTTTTATTATGTAAGCATATTTATTCTCTCTGCCTAGCATGACGAGTTCTATAACAAGAATAACAGAACGTTATATCTCGTAATTTGTATTTTCAGGTATGAAATAATTGTACCACCAGACAAAAATTGGGGAAAACTTTTAGATGATAGATGGACGGGTATTACAGGCATGGTAAACAGAAATGTAAGTATTATAAAATTCCATTTTAAATGAGCATATCATTTTCTCTAACTTTTAACGTATGTATCATTTTATGATTAAACGTTAATAGTTATTATTCTTCATACAAATTAATCATTAAATTCCTAAAGAATTTTAAATAAATTACACTCTTAACGCGAGGAGGAGGGCAGGGTTCGTAGCGATTCTTGTCAAATGAAAGGTCAGATTTCGAGAGATCTACTCCTCATAATTATTCGGGCTTCTTAATGACACCTCACACGTTTTTGTGTTTGTGCGTTCTGTTTTGCTATTAACATTAGTGCTCTCGAACTTCATTTCTGGCTTGAATTCATCATTTCTTTGTTCACTATCAACTTTAAGCTTGACTCCATGTATTTTGATTGTTGAGAAATTTATTTTTAGGTAATATTCTGTCTTTGCCATTTATATTGCCAATATACTTATTGGGAATAAAAAGTAATGGAAAGGTGGCGGAAATTTTTATCAGAAGTTGAAACGGATTAAGTTTGATCTTCTGAAGAGGACGAAAAAAATTTAATGATAATGTAGAAAACGTGTTGAGAAAACTGAAGTAGACAAATAGTAAGAAAATGATGACTGTACCAATAATTCAGCAACTTTGTAAGGATTCTAAGATTTACTTTTATTTTAAAACTTTGCTATCCTCTCTTATTTTCCATTTCCGGTCAGAATAAGCGCAATTAGTTTTGTTTATGCAAATGACCTTGCAAATTGTTAATTATTTAAAATATGGCTTTTAGCCAAAAGAGAGAGTTAGAAAGAGACTTCTCGCCGCCTTACCACGCGCGTGCTTTTCAATCACTTCCTGCCAGCCTTTAAGGCCAGAACTTGATTCTCGCTGATACTTGAAGACGTATTGTAGCTTCTGCATTTTCTACATACGTGGAGGTAAAAGGCCAATCTTCGCGTTACTAGTCTTTTGTAAAGTATCAAAGTTTAGTACTTATTTAGTTAATTTCACTTCTTATTTTCTACGTTTTAGACCATAAGTGCTGGCCTTCGTATCCCGAAGTGCGGAAACGGCTGTAAACTGTGAGAAATAAAGGGTAATTTAACTCTTCGCATCCTTGTCGTATCTGCTACACAAACGAGCATAGTTTTTTGTAAGCTCGCTGCTCCGATTCAGGATTTGAAGATGTTTCCAAAGGCTATTAGAAGGAACAGCAGTCCTGACAACTTTAGCTTAAAAAGGCGGTCTTGTGAAATGGAGAACAGGTGAGATCGTACAAAATGCTTGAGATGAAGCACAGAATTTTATCTTTCATTCGAAAAATCTAAAGATTAAGCAGCAACAGTAAAAACTGCAGCAATGAGTTTGGAACACTTTTGATAATCCTACGTTAGAAAGAGCAGCAGCAGAACTTAAGATGTCACATATTCCAAAAAAAAATTTTTTTTTAATTTATTTTTCGCTTGAAAGCAATATAAATGATACTGTTAAAATTTGAAATCTGATATAGCTTTTTTTTTATATTTGTGTGGTTGGACAAATCTTGATATTAGAAAGTATGGGAAAATATGATACAGGTTTTAGCATTCTACACAGCAAGATATCACATAAATACGTTCTTCTTTCCATTTTAAGTTTTATTGAAGCTATTTAATTCAGTGCGTATAGTCATTAGGTTTGTCGAAGAAGAAAAAAAATGAGCTATGCCCTCATCGGTATTCGAACTCTGGACCTTCTCATTGCTAGCCGGACGTGTTTTGTAGTTACACCATGAAAACACGCAGTAAGAAGGGAGTAAATCCTTACAAGTACCTAAATATTTATTGTTACTTCTTAAAAGCTTATAGGATTGCATCATTACCAATTCCCACAGTAGCTGCATAAATTACCAATCTATTGCAGCCACTATGCTAAGCCCAATCAATACTTGAAAGATAGGAGCCAGGCTCCTAGTCAGGCTCTCGAGATAGAGAAGACTTACTGAACCATTACAAAAAGTTCAGAGCATCAGGCCTTATCCTCCAGACTTCAAACCGGCTTAATGTATTCTAAAAAGTAGCATTTAAATGGTAGGTTCATAGTTAAGATTAGAAGATGGTGCTAAGTGTGAGTTCCACAGAACTTAATTTGACTGCTCAGAATGACACAGCCACTAAGTTTAAAAATAAGGCAACAAATGGTTCGCACTTATCATATGCTAGAATTGTCATCTTGCACATAAAGATAATTTTCTTCTGCTCTCAATGACCGGTATCGCGCTGGGATTGCTTTCAAAGACGTTTATAACTCTGCTGAGCCCTACAACTCAGGCGTTTTTTTTTTTTTTTTTTTTTTTTTTTTTTTTTTTGTCTCGCCATTTGTTTCAGTGCTAAGCAATTTCGGCTTGCCACCAATATCGTTGTTAGGCCACGTGAGCTAACAACTCTAGACAGTGATTTTATTGCTATTAATTGTTTCCATTTCACAGTAATGCAGGGGAAAGTGTTCAAAGCACCTGCAGTAAGGCAAATAATTCCTGAACGAATCTATATTACTAAGGCAGCATCCTATGATTGTTAAGCACTGAAAATTAATTTAAGTAAATTAATTAAGTTTCCACCAATGGTCCTTGCTAATTGCCTTGAGCTAATGGAATGCAACTTACCATGTTTTCCAGAACAGTACCATTCACAAGAGCATATTGGCCTATTTTTGAAAACAGATTATTTAAATTTACCTTATTCCAATTGAGAAACAACATAAATTACCGGTTCCCATAGAATTTTCTGCTCTCTTGTGGCAAAATGAATGAAGAATTCTTGCCATTCTGTATTGCAGAGGTCGCCTTACGCTAGGTATGAATAACACAACTGACTTAAATCAGCGCTGAATGTTGCGATAGCTAAAATTTTAATTAATATCTGAAAGATCAGAAATTCTTCGATGAAAGCTTGAAATATCCAAGATAAAAAAAATCGCTTTTCTTTCGAATGCATTACAAACATTAATATAGATAGGACGAAAGTTGAAAAGAATATAGAATTATCTCTTAAAATGTTTAAACTGCTTGAAAAGGGAGAGGATTCCTACTTTGCGAAAGAAGAAAGTTATAATTAATTCGTTTTAGAAAGCACCAAAAATTCAAAATTTGACTAAACTGTCGAAAATTTAGCCGTACTTAACGAAATTTCAAATTACAAAACACAGACTGTTTGAAAATTGCACAACAACGTATCTCTTGAATAACTGACAGTACCTCATGTTTTAAGAACTTTAAGAATTAAATCAGATGAAGTACTGTAGTTTTGATTATGGGGTACTTTTTAATAAAAATGTCTGTACGATAAAAAAAAATTAGCGTTCTTCCTTATTTGCGCTAAACTTGCTATTCTACCAGTGTTTTAAGGACATCCGATTTCCTTTTGCAAAGAAAAAATATTAATTTAAATAACTTTAATAGTAATTAAATAAATAAATTGTTTGAAAGTAATAAAAAATTAAATTCAATATTTTTTCAGTTTCTGTCTATTTGAGTAATTTCGCAAACTTTAATCAATTCATAAAGCATTAAATTTACATTATAATTTAAATAGTTAAAAATGCTAATTATTATTTAATTTTTGTAAGCTTTTAGGAGCACTCTGTTTCTTCAATTCTAAAACGTCATCAGCTGTTAAATTCACACCTTAATTTCAGCAGTACCAACGAAAGGGTGAAATATGATGAAAGAAAAATGAAATAAATGAAATGAAATGCTGAAATATATCTATAAATACATTTATTGTAATTGCATTTTATTATTTCAGTGAATTTATTAGCAACAGGAACGCCTTATTCGTTAGTTCCCTTTTGAACCAGTTCAGAATACGATTTCTTTCAACTGCTTAGCTACATCTTAGGTTATCAGAGTTTAAGAAAATTCTGAAGTATTGGTTCAAGTAGATTTTATGCCATAAAAATATACTAATTCTTATTTTTTACGTCAGTAGATCTTACAATTTTCTAATTTTGTTAAGTCAGTAGATCTTTTTGGTAGACAAAATAACATTTTAAATATCTATGTTTCCATTCGTTTGTGTATTATTATTTATTTCACTTATTCTGAAACGTGAACCATTATGCTACGTTACTTTCTGGATTCTGATTTATGTTAAACGCGCGGTTTCTATCAATATTTATTGTATGATTGCAGTAAAGGCTCAGTACTGGATACTGTAGAGTCATTAGGTTAATTGGAAGCAGAAAAGATGAAAAATATGCAATCGCCTTCGCCGGAAATCGAACCACGGACCTCTGGAATACCGGCCCAGAGTGCTACCGTTACACCACGAAGGCACGCTAGGGAAGTGGGAGAAATACCTTATAATACTAACAGGAAGTTATTACCGAACAGAGTATTATTATCAAAAAGTACTTCTGGCCTTGCCTTAACGATGAAACTCATATTTTATTTGTGAACTGTGGTACTGAATAAAGTGTTACTTTAAATACTTAAATGCCAACTATTAAGAAATATAAAGGAAAGAAATATAGTAAATATATATAGAGATAATATCCTTCTTTTCCTAATTTAAAAAATGAACTAATTTAAATTAATTTAAATTAGTTAAAATCTAATCAACTTATTTTAAACTTTAAAATGAAATTAATTTAATTTAAATTATTTTACGTTCCAAAAGTTTATAAAGAATTTCATGAACTTTCAAAATTTTGTTTTAACTCCTTTAATACTTCAGATAGCTAAAGCAACATAATTCAACATTATTTGTAATACATTAGTAGATACAGCAAATTACAAAAAAGTGGTTTTTGAGCATTTCATATTTTAATTCATGGCTGCTACTTTAGGAAGTGGACTTGGGAATAGCTAATTTAATGATCACGGAGAAAAAATACGATGCAGTAGCATTCAGCGTGCCTTACAGTGTTGACGGTTTCGCCATGGTTTCATTGGCACCAAGAACCTCAGAAAACACTGGAGCAGTTCTACAGCCTTTCCAGACAGAGGTTTGTTTATTCATGTTTTCCTTCTTTTGAAATTGTGCTTCTAAATTCTAACTATATATATATTTCATAATTTTAGTGTTTAAAAAATCCCCTACTTCTTTTCAAATTTATATCCTCTTTTTAATTTTCATTCAGTAGGATTTTTTTTTATAATTTGCTGCGTTAGTTTTTAAATTCTGGTGTTAGTTCCCATCTCCTCCATTCAAAACGCAATTAATATTAAACGTAATACTTTCCTTCAAGCGAAGTTTTCAGATTTAAGTTAAACTGTGGGCTGAACTTGTAGAGACGTTAGGTTATTTCGAAGCAGGAGAGATGTAAAAGGAGCAATGTCCTTGCCGGGACTCGAACCATGAACCTCTCAAATTCGCGCCAAGCGTGTTGGCCATTACACCAAGAAGGCATGCTAAGAAGGAGGGAGAACTACCTTATAAACTAAACTATTTAATTGTGAGAAACACATACGACGACATTTTCATAGGAAATGGATTTATTCGTAATTTCTAAACAGCAGTGGAATATCTACTCTCATGGGGATGTCTTTTTTTCAGGTGTCCGCCGAAAACATCGCGGACGAAAACCTCGCGGAGAAAACAACGCAAGGCGAAAACATCGTGCTACAAAACATCGTGGGAGAAATCATCGCAAAGAGAAAACATCGCAATCCTAAAACATCGTAGTACAAAACATCGTCGTCGAAAATAAAGCGGTTCAAAAACTTCGCAGTTTAAAAACATCGTCGTCGAAAATATCGTGGTAAAAAATAAAGTATCTACAAATCATCGCATGACGATAACATCGCAGACATGCTTTTTCCATACATGCTTTAATAACTGTAAATGAATATTCCCATAAAGATTTGTGAGCGCAAAATGTAAAGAAGGATAATTTTTACTTTCATATTTTTTATTAACTAATAAATTTTTTCTGAAAAAGTAAGGCAACTTATAGATTATACTTTTCACGAAAAATTACCAGTAAAAACTTTATAAAAAATTATTTATTAATGGCCTTTGTTAGTTAACTATGTCGGTTTAAAATTCTATTAATTGCTATAAGTTGCATTAATTTCCTATGCTTAAGTTTCCTTCTTACTTTTTCAGAAAAAATTTATTAGTTAATAAAAAAATGTGAAAGTAAAAATTATCCTTCTTACCATTTTGCGCTCACAAATCCTTATGGGAATATCCATTTACAGTTATTAACGCATGTTTGCGAAAAGCATGTATGAAAAAAGCATGTCTGCGATGTTATCGTCAAGCGATGATTTGTAGATACTTTATTTTTTACCACGATATTTTCGACGACGATGTTTTTAAATTGCGAAGTTTTTGAACCGCTTTATTTTCGACGACGATGTTTTGTACTACGATGTTTAAGAACTGCGATGTTTTCTCTTTGCGATGTTTTCTCCCACGATGTTTTGTAGCACGACGTTTTCGCCTTGCGTTGTTTTCTCCGCGACGTTATCGTCCGCGATGTTTTTGCCGCGATGTTTTCGGCTGTAACCTTTTTTCATACATACAAGAAATCTAATTAAAGCAGGAAACTGCATTGAACCATCTCTAAGACACCACCCACGGTTCCAAATGATTTAGGTCATCTTAGAGAGGTAACATTTAATATCGTTCTTTACAGCTGCTTATAGATATACTGAAAAATTTCAAAGGATGTCGCCACAAATAAAAATAGTTCAAAAACTGAGTAATAATTTCTGAAGTAAGATTAAATTGAACACTTAAATGGCAATGATAGGTAAAATGAACTAAATCTAAAGCAACCATTCCGGCTCTATATAACTTATTCTTCTCCGAAGATGGTAGCGTTAGAGAGATGAGATTCATTATCACTATTTGTAGATATTCTATGCACAACTAAGCATTTTAAGAGATATCGTATTAGGCAGGTGATTGCCCGAAGTAGATTATCATATATTATAAACTGTCAAGCAATAACTAAAAATGTTCAAATAAAATATATCAGAAAAAATAAATAATATTTTAAAGCACTTATTAGAAATATACAAACACAAAGTTAAACATAAAGAGTTCTCTTTAAAGCGACCATTCACGATTCCATACCGTTTTAGTCTTCTGCGGATGCTATCATTTTAGAAAGGTAAAGTTTATTGGCTATGTTTATTTGTGTTCTCAGAAACAGTGTTCGTCATAGGGATATAATCACTAAGAGAATTCACTGTAATTTTGCATAATTTTCTGAAAAAAAAAGTTTTAAAATTTTCTGATTATAATTTTTAATTTGATTCTTCCCAATAACAGATGTAAAAACTAACTAGTTTTCGTTATTACTAGTTTCGGAGGAGTAAAATCGCAGAAAACTGATAGTTCAACCCGGTGAACAAGCTGGTTGCATGAGATTCAGTGTAATGTGTAACATTGATACGAACCAGTTCCTAAGAAAGTGCTCCACAAATGCATTCCTCTCCTTAGGCAGGTACCCTTAATGGGGTGCTTTGACATGATTCAATAAATTCAAATCCTCTACTGAAATATTCTGTATACTGACATATTTCGTTGTAACTAACGAATCAATATCTATACGGTTAATTTGAAAATGTTAGTGACACTTAAAGAAGACGATTAAACTGAAACAAAATGAGATTTAATGTTTACTAAAAGAATATCCAATTAGCAAAGCAAAAGAAAATGATTTTAAAATTTGATTAATAACGCAGTTACTAAGTTTTTTTAGACTATTTTTCCATGAAAACTGCCAGTACAACTTTATAAAAGAGGTTAATTAAATAATGGTCTTTAATAGTTAAGGGCTTAAATTTAGAATTTTATTAACTGCTTTATGTAGCATTAATTTCCTATTCATTTTCAGTTTTTTAATAGTTAAGTTTCCTTCTTGCATTTTTAGCTGGTAATTATTAATTAATTTAAAAATATGAATTTGCAAACGACGTTTTCGTCTAGAGCAGCGGTTCTCAACCTTTCGACTAACGCGTACATCTAAACGAAACTTGAAAAACTTAAGTACCACCACTACATTTTACAATGTGTTAATAGAAATATTAAAAAAATACATTTTGCCATTTGCGAAATTTATAGGCTATATTAAATGTACACACGTAAAAAAATATTAGATTAAAATTGGTTACCATTTTAATTATCAAAATTTAATTTTAGTTCTAAAATTTAATGTGAAATTTAAAGAAGTTTAAGAGCGATCAATTTCTTTATGTCTCTTTATTTTACTTACTTAACAAATTTAACGTTAACCGTAAATTAAGATCAAATTTAAATTTTGTTCTGTATTTCTTTTCAAATAAAACGTGAGAGAAAATATTTGTTCACACAAATAGCTTGTTCAAAAAAGGCAATAAAAATTTAACAGCTTTATTTGAAACGACTTTAAATTCTTTTTTTTTTGGGGGGGGGGTTCAGCCAAAAGTTAACAAGTGTGTTGTTTGTACAGTCTTCAGTTAGATTTCTGTAACAGGAAATTTCTATCAATTGTTCTTTTTCTTCACGAGATTTTTGAATTGAATAGTTAAAAGTACTTTGTTTCTTTGCGTACCACCGGTTGAGAGCCCCTGGTCTAGAGCTTTTTTTTCCGCGATGTTTTCGGCAAGCACCGATTTCTGAGTACTACTAGTTGAAATTATTATTTTACATTAGCATGTATCTCATTATGTCTGTTGAAATATTAATGAGAACCTGTAATAAGCTGAACTAACTTGAAAGAGGTATTAATAATGTCTGATTATTGTTAATTTAATGATTACAGTAAGCTTTAAAGCAAGATAATGCAATAATTAAGGATTCCTAAATATTACACTCTGTTCTATTGCACTAGCAGTAATGCTGGAGCGCCCGAACTGTCACTGATGCATGCTGTTAACACGAAGAACTTCATAATGCAAATGTATTAAATTTAAAATTTCTCCTGCCTAGAAAAAGGGCACGAGGAAAGTTATTCCATTAAACACTTTCTTAGGAACACATGATTATCACTGCTTATGGGGTATACATCCTACGCGGTTTATGACCTTGAGTTCACTAAGCGGGAAAAGCGAATGCAACTCTTGAGTGAGCGCATCGTTTCGAAAGCAGAAAAGTCATGGAAAGTTGAAGGCCAGAACTGAAATTCACGATTTCGTTACTAGCCTCATGCATAGGAAAACCGGAAAATGGGCAGCACATCCATGCATAATTTGTAGCTTTTTACTGGACTTTAAATTATTTTTTGTTTAGATAACTAACGGTCAATAAGAAACCTAACTGATTATCGCCTTGACCCAAAACAAGACTATACATCTACAGGATTAAATGAGTACAAAATATAATCCAGCCACAATGTGAGGCAGAGAGCTTAAAATATGATTGTGCTGGAAAACGGCCCACTTTTGGTGATGCTCTATTTACATTTAGTCTACTGATCGAAGTTTACAAAGATCCCAAAAGACAGATGAGCTAAACTTTATAAAAACCACAAATTTTTCTTCTCACCTCAACCAAAGCACACAAACTCCGAACATTTTCTCCTCAACAGAATCTAGCCGAATGCGATTAACCATGCACGTCGAGAATCGTTTCTGCAGCAGCATAAGCTTCAGTAATTAATTTCTTGCAATAAACTCGCTTGCGCGCCATTTAAATGTTTATAAAAAATTAGATGGTTTAAAAACTATCTGATTAGTGTGCGATGGACGTAAAAAAGTTTAGTGAATGTAAGAAAAAACTGTGTATGCGAAGAACGTAAAAATTATAGTTCCATGCTAAAAAGGAGATTAAATTTACATTGTTACCAGTTCATGAAAATTAAATTAAAGTTCCAATCATTTTCAGTTTCTTAACATACCCTAACCGTGCAATTATGAAACGCACGCTCTAAATTGCAGCCCTATTTTAACGATAGTCTTGTAAATATAATCTACCTGGAACGTTTATATTTCTTTCTGATCCTAAACCTGATGGCAGATTTTCATATTTATTTACATCTTCTGTAGAATGTCAGGTGAAAATTGCAATAAC